CCGGAAGTCTCAAAAAGTAAATGGCCCAGCAGAAATGCTATGCCCTTAGAGGATGAAGCTGAGCCAGGAAGCAGAATGTTTTGCCCAACACAGACACCATAGCTTGCAGGGAACAGTATGAAGACATCATCAGAAATAGAAGATGTTGGAGTCCTACAGCATCAGATGCAAAAGCTGCCTTGGCCACATGCATTCTCTCAGTGTGTTTTTCTCTACTGGTATACTCTATGTATATGCCCATTATTCCCACTGATGCTGCATATATTTGTGAGAGAGTATACTTTCTCTAACACCAAAGGGGGAATGTTGTGTAGCTATTGCTCTTATCATCTTAGCATAAGGCTTTGCTTTCAGTGACACAATATTTGAATGTTAAAGGTAAATGCACTGATATGGGGCTTGTGAGCTACTTAGTTTTAGGCATATGGATCCACAGAGTATTTTGAACTTGGGGTAGTCATCCCTGGGGAATCCAACCTACCAGTGTAAGTTGAGGGAGAGCCCAGAAAAGGGACACAGCACTTATATTTATATAGTTTTTAAGATTTAATGCATTGTCACATCTACAGTTCTCTATATTTGAAACAAATATACTAACTAAATGGATTAGCCATCCTCATCAAGTAAGGTACCATGGTACTATAGTGAAAAAACCTTTGAGTCTTCAATCAGATGACCAGGATTCAAATTCTGCTTTTGATATTTACTTCTTGTATGACACTACTGGGTAAGTCACATAACTACTTCAATTTTCTTTTTTTCCTTTTTTAAAAATATTTACTTAATATTTTATTTTTCCCAATTCCATGTAAAAAGCTATGTTTGACATTTGTTTTACTAAATTTTGAGTTCCAAATTTTCTCCTGCTATCCCTCCACTCCCCGCCCTCATTGAGAAGACAAGCAATTTGATAAAAGTAACACATGTGCAGTCAGGCGAAACATTTCTATAGTAGTCATGTTGTGAAAAAAAAACAGAAAAAAAAACCAAGAAAAATGATAGAGTTCTTAGGAGTCATAAATATCTTCCCATGTAAGTATGTAAGCAGTTTGAACTTACTGAATCCCTTATGATTTCTCTTTCCTTCTTACCTTTTTATGCTTCTCTTGAGCCTTGTATTTGAAAGTCAAAATTTCTATTCAGCTCCAGTCTTTTCATCAGGAATGCTTGAAAGCCCTCAATTCCATTGAATATCCATTTTTTCCCCTGAGTTATTTTACTGGGCAGATGATTCCCTCAGTTTTACTGGGTAGGTAATTCTTGGTTGTAATACTAGCTCCTTTGCCCTCTGGAATACCACATCCAAGTCTTCCAATTCTTTAAGGTAGAAGCTGCTAAATCTCTTGTTATCCTCACTGTGGCTCCAAGATATTTGAATTATTTTTCTGGCTAATTCCAATATTTTCTCCTTGACCTGGGAACTCTGGAATTTGGGTATAATATGACTGGGAATTTTCATTTTGAGATCTCTTTCAGGAAACGATAAATGGATTCTTTCAATTTCTATTTTACCCTATGGTTCTAGACTATCTAGACAGTTTTCCTTGATAATTTCTTGAAAGATGATGTCTAGGCTCCTTTTTTTATCATGGCTTTCAGGTAGTTAATAAGTCTTAAATTATCTCTCCCTGATCTATTTTCCAGGTCAGTTGTTTTGTCCAATGAAATATTTCACATTTTCTTCTATTTTTCCATTTTTTTAAATTTTGTTTTGTTCTTTCCTGATGTCTCATGGAGTCATTAGCTTCAACTTATCCAATACTAATTTTTAAGGAATTCTTATCTTCAGTGAGCTGCTGTACCTCCTCTTCCATTTTGCCAATTCTGCTTTTTAAGGAGCTGTTCTTTTCAGTGGATTTTTATACTTTTTTTTAAAATTTAGTCCCTTAAGGTGTCATTTTCTTCAGTAATTTTTGTGCCTCCCTTACTAAGTTGTTGACTCTTTTTTTCATGACATTCTTGCATCACTCTCATTTCTTTTCCCAAATTTTCCTCTGCCTCTCTTACTTGATTTTTAAAATGCTTTTGGTGTTCTTTCAGGTATTTTTTTTAGGCTTGAGATCAATTTATATTTTTCTTTGAGGCTCTGGATGTAGCAGTTTTGACTTTGTTTTCTTCTGAGTTTGTGTTTTGATCACCCCTGTTACCATAATAACTTTCTATGGTCAAGTTATTTTTATTGTTGTCTGATCATTTTTTAGTCTATTTCTTGACTTTTAACTTTATATGCTAAAGTTGGACTGTGCTCCTGGGGTGGAGGGGGACACAGTCTTAAGCTTCAGATTTTTTGTGCTGCTTTTTTTCAGAGATAGTTCTGGGGGTCTGTAAGTTTTCAGTTCTGCCAAGGTGGTATAATCTAAGAAGAAGTGTGTTTACTACTGTGTGCTCTGGTCTGTAAGTGACCACAAGCACTCTTTTCCACCCTGGAACTATGACTTGGGTCTCTACTCTCCTGCAGCTGCAAGCTCTGCTGTGTTACTGCTTCTCTTCATCCTGGGACTGTAACCTGGATCCATGCATGGGCAATTCAACAGAGTCCTGAATCCAGTGCCAGTAAAGTGACTCCTGTGATCTCCTTTTGACCAGTTGTCTAATCCCTTGTAGTCAATGGGCTAATAGCTCCAGAAACCACTACTGCCTATTCAGGAGCCCCCAACGTCTGCTGCTGGCTTGCTGAGGCATGACTTGCTGCTATCTTGCCAGGGCATTGCCTTCATTGGACTGAGCTCTAGTCCACCCTGGTGTGATAAAACTTTCCTGCTGACTTTCTAAGTTATCTTGGGCTGGAAAATTATTTCACTAATTCTTTTTGTGGGATCTTTCACTCCAGAATTTGTTTTGAGGCATTATTTAAAGTTGTGTGGAAGGGAAATTGGGAGAGATTAGGTGAGGCCTTTTCTCTGCAATCTTGACTTCATTACCATACTCCCCCCGATATGTCAATCTTCTTATCTATAAGATGAGTAAGTGGAACTAGATGATCTTTGGGACTAGATGATTTTCTGGTTCTAGATCTATGATCCTAATATAACTTTTTTTTTGAGACTATGTCTCCCTATCTCACCTAGCCAGAAAGTACAATGGTGATTCATGAGTTTGATCAATGTTGATCACCACAAGAGTTTTACTTACTCCATTTCTATCTTGGGTTAGTTCATCCCTTCTTAGGAAGTCTGTTCCCTGGGGCTCCCCATACTGGTGCAGAGAGTGGATCAGGTTAACCCACTGAAGCTCAAAACTCCTCACCTCAAACAATCTACCGGCCTCAGCCTCCCTCACAGCAGAGACTATAAATTTGCATTACCATTCCTGGCTATAAAATTAATATTTGCAAATATCAGACTTCAGATGAAATTTTCCTGATAGAGGTAGAAACTAGTATGTGAAAAATTTGGCAGTGATAATAAAAAAAAAATAAACTTGAGAAGACTTATGTGAACTGATAGAGAGTGAAGAAAGGAGACTTGAGAGAATAATATAGGAAATAATCCCAATAACATAAAGGAAAATAGAATGAATTATGACCAACTAAAATGTGACTGACATAATGCACTCTCTAATTCCATATTTGCTATATCTTTTTTTAATGTATACAAGAATATATTTCTTATTCAGGATTTTTGTGATGGTAAATATTATATTAATTATGAGAAAGAAGTGACATTGTTTAAAATATGTCTAGGGAAAGCTATAAACTCCTTGAACAAAAAACTTATTGTCTTTTCACCCAAGAATATAATTCAAGTCCATTTCCCTTGGCAGTCAGCAAATTACTTAGACAAAAAGAACTTGTGATAGGTGACTTTCTTTTACCTATAGGGTACTGCTTTACTTTCATCTCTAAACTACTGAGAATATCTTTTCCTAGTTCCAGAACCTACAGTTTCATCGATAATGCTCATCTCAACCAAAACAGAGGAATTTTTTGTTGTATCATAGTTCCTGGGACTATAGATAATATATTTCTACATCCTCTAATGTAAAGAGGATTAACTAAAATAAAAAAGAGTGGAAATCTAATACTATGTTTACTATGTCTTTTAGCCTATCAGTGGCCTAGGAACCCAAGAAATGAAATATCACTGACACATCTGAGATAAGATCTTTTCTATACTAAAAAGAAAATATCAATGAATCATTGGTAGTATTGGTAGTATTGCACTAACCATGTGTGGAACTGCCACTCAGCCATGAGTTGATTTGAGACTGCAGGTCTCTGTACTACCCAAATGACTCCCAAATTAAAATACACATGACCTTCATCTTCAACCCTCTTGAGAATTCTGCTGGCTGCACAGAATATACTTTGATATAGTAAACTTCGCTGATGCATAAGTCTTATATACAAGCTGTGTTTTTCCTTTCAGAAGAAAACTCACAAAATCACTCATTTAGAAAGCATGTGCGGTTTATTGATGGGAAGAAGAATCAGGAAAATTTAATCAATTCCCCTTTTTTATGCCCCAGAGACTCAAAATATCACTGACTAATTATGCTAACAGATATCAGGATTCCAATTAATGTAATGATCAATCTTGATTCCAGAAGTCTAACAAACATATCTTTCTTCTCCATAAACAAAGGTGGTAGACTACAGGCATAGAATACCATATGCGCTGGCAGAGGTGGCCAATATGACAGTTTGCTTTATGTAATTATTTTTCATAGTTACAAGGAAAGATTTTATTGGGTGTCATTCTAACATGACAGTGAAGTGGTTTTTTTTTAACAACAATAATTTTTTTAAAAAACTGTGCCAGTGATGTGGCTAATGCAACTATAATCTATATAAATTATTAAAATTATTAAGTTCTAATTTCTGGGAAGAGGGCTTTTAAAATGTGTAAGCTATTATGAAGATTAAAAGGCTCCACATAATAAAAAGCAATGTAACCTCAGAAAAAGGATCTCCTACCCTTACTCCAAACATGTTATTTAACATAAACATCCACCTTGAAATTCATCCTATAAAATATATGCTTAAATTTTGAAAAAATTACCTTGAATGCTGTTAAGCAATGCAGAATCAGAAACAGCATCACCACAACCAGGAGAAGGGTGGCTAAATTCCGTATGTCCCATATAGTCTCTATTAGAGGAATACTTCCAACCTGCCAGTCATAGCATAAAGTAACTGGTGCCAGCAGTAACCAGGTGTTGAAAGCCAGAAGGTAGGAATATGTAAGGAATCTGAAAGGTAAAGGAGAACTGAACTGAATCATTTTAATATTGTAACTCCAACTTAACTTTTCTTGAGTTTTATACTATGCAGTTTTGTGGAAAAATTAACTATTCTGCTTCTGTTATAGAAGCCATTGATGAACCAGTCAAAATGGCATTCCTCAGCAGCCAGGTAGGGTCCACTGAGCTAATGGAGGAGTCAGAATGTTGGAGCTAAACTACAGGCCTTGAATTCTTGCAGGCACAGTCTGTTTGTCTAGGGTATTAATACATGAGGGACCTAAGTAAGTAGGATCTCAATTGTATCATTTCCATTTCACAATAGAGGCCTCCTCTGCCCTCCCCACATTGCACCAACCAATTCCTAAAAGGCAACATAGGATGAAGGGTGATAGCATGACTCTATGTCATTTGCTCAATAGCAACTAGGATCCAATAATGAATGAGCAACTACTTTTTAAAAGTTATATAGTGAATGATTGCTTCAGGAAGGTTGTAGCTCCAGAAATCTAGTGGTCATTTGGTCTGGCTTCCATTAAATACTTATCAAAATCTCCATTTAGTTGGTATTGATGGACACAGACCTCCAAAAACATGGGCTCCACAACATCACAAGGGTCAATAAGTAAAGGGAGCTAGATGGCCTTCTTTAGGTCTTCCCAGTCTACATTCTGTCATAGGCCCTACTCAAAACATGCAGACTTGTAAAAGACTTGGTAATGGATGCCATGAGGAAACAAAGGAGGAACGTGGTTTCTTTAAAACCAAGTCCAATAAGCCTTTGGGTTTCATTTCTAAACAGTGTGGATATGTCAGTAGATTGTTCTGGACTATGTTCTCAATCATCTGGGTTCTCCTTATCTACTATACTCAATATTTTAAATGAGTGGGCTAAATCCTAGATTATGTTAGTCCCTCATGTTGTCCACTAAACAGTCTAGACTCTCTGCCACTGTAACCTTAACATGATGCCATCAGTATAATAGGGGACACAAATGCCCTCAAGAATTGGGGTCTCTTTTAGGTCTCTGCCCATCAGACTGTGACTGTGTGAAGAAAAGTTGTGAGAGCCTTGAGAAAGAATAGTGAAGGTATACTGGGATCCTTCCTAGGTGAAAGCAAACTACCACTAATTAATCTGTCATAGTAATAGGGAAAAAGACACTAATGAAGTCAACAGCCCCATCACTAGAGGTCTGGGGTACCTGGTCTAAACCATTGATGAGGTCAAGAATTGCCTTAGATATTGGCATGACAACTTCATTCAGCTCCCTTTAGTTCAATGTAAGTTGTCAGATGCCAGCTACCTTCCTCATTACACACAAAGGGCTACTGTCAGGAAATCTAGAACAACTCTTTCATCTCCATCACTTGAAATGAACTATCTTTCACTCCTGAGATCTGGTATTCTTTGGCTTTAATCATACAGGATGTCTCAGGCAACTCCAAAGGTTTCCATTTGGCCCTGCTAACAAAAACCAGTCTACTAAACCCATCTCTTTCAGGAATTTCACCCCTTTCCTTATAGAACCCCAACAAAGAACTTACTGTAAAATTCAAGTCAAATCCACAAGCATTTAGACACTGTAATAAGCACTAGAACACAAACACAAGCAAAAAGAAAGACCACTGATCAACAAGATGAAGGATTATACAATTTTCTCAATATTCATTACTTCTTAAACCTTTCCAAAATAGGTATTACATATGTGTGTGTGTGTGTGTGTGTGTGTGTGTGTATAAAGATATAAAGTAATTCCATATTCTAAGACACTAAGAAATCTAATGGTAACAACCTGATGGGCTAACAGTAGAGAAGCCTAATCCCTAAATGCTGATCCTTACCCCCTAAGTCACCACATTCTGGCAGAGAACAAGCTGATTCACAGTCTTGAAACAGAACTCCACTCTGCCCCCTCCTTTCTATACTGTGGAAAATCAAAAGCTAGAAGACTGCTCTGGCTGAGAAGTCAGTATGGCAGAGCTCAGTACTTCAAAAATGCTCAGAAAGAGAACTGAGGAACAGAGAGAAGTGGGGCAGGATGCCAGCATATGTATGCCTTCACCAGGCCTAGAACAAAGGAGACTCACATCTAGTTGTGGCCAGTTCTATCTCCCTAAAAGTTACTTGGGGAATAGACTGAGACTAGTACAATGCACAGCATGGAAAGAGGTGTAACCTCCACTGAGGTGTAACCTTCAGAGAAAATGCTATCAAGGAGGAAAGAGGAAGAAAGTAAAAGACAGAAGAACATAAAAAAAAAGAAATTAGTGAAGACACCAGGAGAAATAAAACTCGATTAAAGACCTTGAGCACAAGCAGATAAAACATAGGAGATGATATTAACAACAGAAAGGAAGATTACCTCCAGATCATCTAAACAAGTCATTATCTGTGAATAAATATTGCAAATCAAAGGAAAATGAACGAATACTTGGTGAAGTAAAGGATTCTGTGGATTCTCAAGAGATCATGGAACCATAGTAGGATATTCTTGAATGGTTTAGAAGAGAAATAAGAATTGTGAAAAAAGAATTTATCACCTCTACAGCAGAAATGATTAGCAGAAGAGAAAAACTTGAATCCATGGTAGCAAGTCTCACCAAAGAAACAAAACAGAGGGAAGCAAGCATTACTTGAACCTTACTCTCATTGGATTTGGCTTAAAGAGGGAATAACATACATACTCAGGTATAGAAATCTATCTCACCATGAGAAATGGTAAGGGAAAGAGGAAGTAAAAGGTAAGGGGGTGGATAAAAGAGAGGGCAGAAGGGAGGGAAGGAGTATTAAGGGAAAGGGGAAAGAAAAGGAAAGAAGGGTTGATAGAAGGGAGGGAGGACTAAGGGAGGTAGTGGTCAAAAGTAAAACACTAGTGAGGAGGGAAAGGGAGAAAGGAGAGAGAAAAATATGTACAGGAGTGGGAACAGGATGGAGAGGACACAGTTACTAATCATAACTGTGAATGGGATGAACTCTCTCAAAAAACATAAGAGGGTAGCAGTGGATTAAAAACCATAACACTACAATATGTTGTTTATAAGAAACACATCTGAAACTGAGGGATAAAGACAGAGTAAAGGTAAAAGGCTAGAGCAGGATATATTATGCTTCAGCTGAAGTAAAAAAAAATCAGGGGTAGCAATCTTGATCTCAGACAAAGCAAAAGCAAAAATAGATCTAATTAAAAGAGATAAGGAAGGAAATTACATCCTGCTAAAAGGTACCATAAACAACGAAATAATATCATTACTAAACACATATGCACCAAGTGGTATAGCATCCACATTCTTAGAGCAGAAGTTAAGTGAATTATAGGAAGAAACAGACAGCAAAACTATACTAGTGGGGTTCCTCAACCTCCCCCTCTCAGAACTAAATAAATCTAACCACAAAATAAACAAGAAAGAAGTTAAGGAGGTGAACAGAATTTTAGAAAAGTTAGATATGATAGACCTCTGGAGAAAACTGAATGGGGATAGAAAGGAATATACCTTGTTCTCAGTGGTACTACTATACAAAATTGACCATGTATCAGGGTATAAAAATCTCATAATCAAATGAAGAAATACTAAACACATACTTTTCAGATCATAATCCAATAAAAATTGCATGTAATAAAGGGCCATGGAAAGATAGACTAAAAATTAATTGGAAACTAAATAATCCTAAAGAATGAGTCAATAACTTCATCCAAGAGAATGACAATAATAAGAAAACATACCAAAACTTATGGGACACAGCCAAAGCAATTCTTAGGGGAAATTTTATATCTCTAAATGCTTACATGAATAAATTTAAAAAAGAGATCAATTAATTGGGCATAAAACTAAAAAAGCTAGAAAAAAAAATCCCAATTAAATACCAAATTAGAAATTCTGAAAATCAAAGGAGAGATTAATAAAATTAAAGAGAACTATTGAACTACTAAATAAAACTAAGATCTGGTTTTATGGGGAAAAAACCAGTAAAACAGACAAATCATTAGTTAATTTGATTTTTTAAAAAGAAAGAAGAAAACCAACTTACTAACATCAAAAATAAAAAGGATGAATTCACTACTAATGAAAAGGAAATTAAAACAATAATTAGGCACTATTTTGCCCAACAGAAGAGGAAATAAAATACTTAAACAACCCCACTTCAGAAAAAAAAATTGAATAAGCCATCAATGAACTCCCTAAGAAAAAATTTGCAGGGCCAGATGGATTTACAAATGAATTCTAACAAACATTTAAAAAACAATTAATTCCAATACTATATAAGCTATTTGGGAAAATAGGTGAAAGAATCCTACCAAATTCTTTTTATGATACAAATATGGTGCAGATACCTAAACTGGGAAGAGCCAAAACAGAGAAAGAAAATTACAGACCAATTTCCCTAATGAATATAGAAGCAAAAATTTTTAAATAAAATATTAACAACAACATGACTAATGTGGAAATATGTTTAATATGATTGTACATGTATAGCCTTTATCAGATTTCATGCCATCTTGGGGAAGGGAAGGGAAGGAAAGGGAAGGGGAAAAAATTTAGAATTCAAGATCTTATAAAAGCGAATGCTGAAAACTAAAAATAAATAAATTTTTAAAGAAGAATAAAAGTAGACAAAATAGACAGAAAAGATAGATGAAGAGAATGAGGGAAAGAAATTCTTTTGTTAGCAGAAATGAAATAAGTTAACAAACAAAATGAGTTGAAGGGGTGGAGAGGAAGTAGGATTTCACTTGATTACTTAACTGGGAGGAAAAAAGTGTGGAAGAGTTAGATAACTAGATAAAAGGAAGAAAAATGGAACTAATAGGCAAATCTTGAAAACTAGGGAAAGGGGTGACAAATGGGCGTGGGAATACATGTGAAAGTTTGAGGGTAAGGGAAAGAGAGCCAGTGGATATCCTTTTATTTTTCTTTTGGCTAGGCAATGGGGTTAAGTGACTTGCCCAGGGTCACACAGCTAGTGTTATGTGTGTGAGGCCGGATTTGAACTCAGGTCCTCCTAAATC